GCATGAATCCCCTTTCCTTTGTTCCTTTCCTGGCCCCTTTTTTTTTTTTTTTTTTTTTTTGGTGGTGGAGGGGGGTCCAACAGAAAGTGATTTCATCAACTTTCACAAAATACAAGCCATAAATGAATTAAATATAGGTATAGCCACAGTAAAAGAGAATTTAAGTTTATATGAGGTATGTTCCGCATCAGGTAATTTCTTAGAGGTACAGTAGCTGGACATTAGGTCATGCCTGGGCTAGTCATGCCTCTGCTAACCTGCAAGGCTACTTCCTAGCATTGCCCCTGGAAACACTTCCTAGATAGGACAGGAGATTCAAAAAAGATTTGTCTATACAATTTAGCACTTTAAAACCAATTTTACATTTAGCACTAAACATAGAAGGCAAGCTGAGATATTCACATATCCAAATTGGGAATGACCCAACAACAGGCCCACCCCTCAGAGCTGACCATTTCCTAACTCTCAACCACAGTTAGGATGACCAGGGGTGACGGCTGCCATGTTTCTTCAGGAAATAGCCACTTTGCTAAGTAGTTATCTCACATTTAAAAGATGCCATTCAGCCTTACAGTGGACTACATGCACAAACCCCATGACTTAAAGAGACCTGTGCTTTCAGGTGATTGTTAACAAGGTCGCATTTCTAGAACCACAAGGGCATAGCCAAACAGCACAGTGTTCATGTCACCTTAGCTCTTGGACAAGGAAGTGGCATTTCTTGCAACTGAAAGGGATAACAATAAGTGGTGGGTTTAAAGTTGCAAATTAACAGAGGATTATAAAAGCCTATGGAGCTGTGAAGGCAAAGAGCTTGCTTGCATAAGTCTGACATAAGTATTTTCAGTTAAAATGCTTCACAGGGCACTGCTGTAATGCCTATCACCCACAACACTTTGGTGCTTAAGAGATAGAATTTATCTGTGGGAGTCAATCTCACTTGCTGAAGGGCAGTTTAATGTCTCATCAGGGAAAACAGATAATTCTCTAGGGTTTCTTTTGGAAAGCTCACCTCAGAGACACTGATGATGTAAGAGATATCTAGGTATTTTTCCTTGACTGCTCTAAGCAATTCCAGGTGATGTAGAGGTTTTGCAGTTATTCACATGAAAAAACAAACAAGTTGACATTTCCAGGACTTTTATAGCAAAGTAGATAATATCTGGGTTATTTGTTGAAGCCATATAAAATATGCATGCTTTGGAATGTCTGACAGGCTACAGTATTACTTCTGGTTAATTACTGAACTTGAAAATATTTATAGATAAAAATTCACACATTTTTTTGCCCAAAGATTTCAGGAAGCACATAGGTATTATGTCTTATCTCCCTTTCTCGTATGAGCCAAACTCCTATTTTTTCAGTAGCTATTAGCAATCCTCTATGTTTAACATATTTCATACAATGGCTTGTTTTCTTTCAGGAGAAAAAAAAAATCTGTTCTTAGGTATGAATTCAATTTGTAATGCCCTCTTAAAGAAAAGAAGCTGCACTTCTATGTTTGACTTCCAAGCCCCCTAATTCCTAAAAAACTGGGCTGGAAAGAGGCTATTACTGATCATAGTTACTTTGTAGAGGTGTGAAATGTGAAGTTTTGAACTGCTCATTGACTTCAGTCCTAATGAGCTGGCACCTTGAAAGAATTCTGCCTAACTTCCCAAACTGGCTGGGGTCAAAGACACCAGGGCACTAAATACTGTGGGTGCCATTAATTGGGATCACGAGGAAGTAAAGCAAGTAACTGTAATTGTGCACTGGCAAGATTCTGATTGTGATTGTCAACCACCAAGAAGCTTAAAGGCAACCTACCTGAAGCAGCAACCACAGTTTGGGTACTCTAGTTACTCTGAAATGTGTTTAAGTGAGCCATGCAAATTAGCATGAAGATGATTTCAAAGTATGCCTTTCGCACTTTCTGAAAACTCTTGAAATTTGCTCAGTTTTCTCCCTAATGGAATTATTTCATTAATAGAAGGAGGAAAACCAAATAACCTAATCTTTACTGCAGGCTCATCACTCTTCAGGTCAGTCTTTTGGGAATTTCAACTATGCAAATCAGTCGTTATTCACCGAGATGAGAAATAACATTGTTCTGAACTTTAAAAGGCTCTAAATTTTGCCAAAAGCTATCCTCTGTCCCTTCTCTGGATCATACTTTTCCTAAGAGAGTAAAATTTGGGTAAAAAGTATTCCCAGAATAAAGAATTGATCCTGTATTTACTTAGGCAAAATAAATCATAGCATTTAGCTTTAAGACCACCTCCCCCCCCCAAAAAAAGTAGGGCAGGAGTCTACTTCCATACATTAACAAAACAAAACAAACAAAAAACCTATGTATTCCCAGAATAAAGAATTGATCCTGTATTCACTTAGGCAAAATAAATCATAGCATTTAGCTTTAAGACCACCTCCCCCCCCAAAAAAAAGTAGGGCAGGAGTCTACTTCCATACATTAACAAAACAAAACAAACAAAAAACCTGGCTATATTGGTAGGACCAAGTAGAAGGCTAAGGGAAGGGTCAAAATAGGAAGGCCTTTCAGTGTACAGGATGGATAATTTTTTTAAAATAAAAATAAAAAAATAGGAAGGCTCTTACACAAAGAGCTCTTTGTACAACATTTATGTCAACATAAAGTTCAATGCACACTATTTCTAGAATTATTTTTCAAACTAGAAAGTTTTTATTGTAAATGTAATACTCACTATAAAAAATAAAATGCAATTTGGACAACACCGTTTTGTAAAAAATAAAAATCCCACTACCCAGAGATCATAAAAGATTAATGAATGTTTTTGTAAAGATTTTTGCTCTAGATGTATGCACTTTAAAAAATAAAACTAGCATATTACCTTTTAACAATATTGTGGCAATATTTCAATATCAACTATTATAGATTGATATTCATATTATAGATGATCAATTATAGAACTTCATGACTATTTTTAATAGCTACATAGTATTTCAGTATCTGGGAGTTATTCAGTCATTTAGCCAATCCTCTCAATTTTGTCATACCAAAAACAATGTTGCAATAAACATGTTTGTATACATATCTTTGCTTACTTGTCTCACTATTTTCTTAGGACAAATTCCCAAAAGTGATGAATTATTAGCTTAAATGATACATAGATTTGGGGTGAAGAAAAGGCTTTGGATTCAAATTGTTCTCTAGGAAGTTTACACCAATTTATTATTCCTAAGGGAAAAAAAAGTAGAATACTTATTTTCAAGTTCATTCTGCTCATTGTTGAGTTCAAACTGTTAAAAAAGTAAATTAAAAAGTTGATTGGGATGGGTGCAAAGATTTGATTGGCAATATTCTATAAGGAAACATACCTGTACCAGTCAGAAATTCTGTGGCTGACTGTTGGCCCGCTCACCTTCCTACCTAACTCATCTTCTTTTCCCACTTTCATTATAAAGGCTACTTGTTTTCTCTGCCTCTTACATAATTCTAATAGAATGTAAGCAGAAATGTGCTTCTGAAAAAGCTTTTACTCTCCTAACAAAAAGAACAGATATACTGGAACTGCTCCTTTTCCCAGCAAACATGTAGTCTGGAACTGCCATACTGCAATCATAAGGAAAAGGCCAGGAAAATTACTTGTTCTAACCAATGCCAACAACAGATAACTTGCATACTTTGTGATATGAAAAAAAATTTTTCTATTTAAGTAATTCTTAGTATTTCCTGTTACTTGAAGTTAAAAACATTACTGACAGATAAAACACTGCATGCTAAAGGCAAGCAATGGTTTCTGAGTGATCATACATTTAAAAATAGGGGTAAAATATCTACATACAGCAAGAGATCATGGAAAAAAACGTTAGTACTAACCGAGAAGGGGTGCAGTATGTGGCAGAGGACTACTGTTTATCAAAACCCTGTTTTCTTTTCCTCCTGGCCACACAAACAAACTACATTTCCCATCTTTCCTTGAGCCACAAGATGAAGTCTTGGTTCATGGAATACGGACAGAAGTGATGATGCCAATTCTGGGCCTGGCACATTAAAAAACTCCCATGTAATCTTTGCTCTTTCCCTATCTGCTGGCCAAACGGAGATTTTGAGCAGAATCACAAAATAAAAGAAGCCTGGGTCTCTGAATCACTGTATGGGGCAGAGCTCCTCCTCGAACCTGCTTAGGACTGTAATGTGAGTAATAAGAGTATTGTGTCAAACCTCTAAATCATGGGGTGGTTTATTACAGCAGCTAGCAGCATTTAGTCTAGTATAGTGGGAGTGGGAGGAGAAAATAATGAAGGAAAAAATGACTGGTTTATGTTGCTGATTATAAGAGTGCTATCTGGTTTTTCCACAGGTTCCCCAGCCCTGACCTAGATTAACTAAACTGTTCCTTTCTATGATTTTATGATTATAGATTTGATGAAATTTTCAATATTTAGAATGAATTCTTCAATTATTTTCTTATTTCCTTCTTTTGTTCCTTTCTAAATCCATTGTTTTTTGGGAGGCTTGATGTTGACTACCTCTTTGGAACACTGTGATTTTTAAATTGTATAAGACTGTGTTCCTGAACAACTGGTCAGGAGGAAAGTCTTTGCTAAAACTTAACATCAATTTAAATATATTTAGAAATATATTTAAAAATGATCCCTTGTTAAATAATTTTGACATTTTGGGGATATACTACAAATAAAGTTTTCTATATGACCAATGAAAACTAACAGTTCAATCTGTATGCCTGCTCAAATGGTGGTACAAAGTTTAAAATCAATTGCTCATTCCTTGGTCAGCTTGCTATGTCCTAACATCTATGACATAGCTATTACTATCAACAGGAGTACAAAGACACATAAACCATCTGGTAAATTATATATTACATGTTTATTAAGGGCACAACTTTTATGTAAAATTTACACTTTATGAAAAAAATCAAAAATATTTACAAAATTTTGGAAGATAGATGTGCATTGTTCTAATTACAACCCAAAGTAGTAAATAACAATCCTTAAAAACTCACATTCGTTAGAGTTCTGTGTTTATAAATTCTTGGTTAAAGAGGCAGCTACAATGTTTATCACTATACATAAGCAAGAACCAGCTTGCTACATACATTTCCCATTGAAAATGTACTGGTCTTTTTTACACCATTAGTGGATTTTTAAATGAAAAACAAATCAATATAAACTCATATGGCTTCAAAATTGTAACCTGTACCCAATACAAATTTATGTATCAACACTTGGTATGAAGACTGTGGTAATTAAGAAAGTGTAGAAGTTTAACCATTTCACTAATTTGTACACTTTTAGGTAATACTTGATTAAAAACAAACATGGTGAGTAGAATAGTGTCTGAATTTCAATAGTAAAATATTAACTGCCCAATAAAAGCAGTTTGATTGCAAAGCAGATTACAGTTAAAATTCTAATAAGGGCCTGTAATTGGCATTTTAAAAAGCACAATAATAAGAGATAGAAATTCTAATTTGGCTATTTAGTCAAGATTAACATTTTAGCAAATTAGTCTTATGTGTTGCTTTAGTCAAATCTAAATTTAGAATTGGGCTAACACTGAATGTATTAAAAAGCACATACTGTGTTATATATTGCTAAAGAGTAGATTTTCTGGTGTATTTAGTATAGCAAGATGTTATATAAATGTCTAGTAACAGGAGTTTTATTTTCTGTAAAGCTTAACAGAATAATTAGTGGTTTTTATATATAAATTATCATATATAACACAATTTATCACTTCTACTATGTAAAATAAAGGACAATGGTATTTATCATTATAAATAAAATTCCCATCTGTAAATTATGAAACTTTGTCCAAAGTATTTCATTTCTTCAATTAATCAGGATTTGCTACAAAGTTAGGTTTTTTACTATTTAGTCTTAGTAGTTTGTTTTAAGAAATAATACTTAACCCAATCATTTCAAATAATTTCCCTAATTTTACCAGGTAAAAATCAAATAAGAATAAAAACATACATACAAATTGGTAATTTTTCCAATTGTAGAAATGAAAATAAATGGCAGTCCTTCTCCCTCTGTTGCCAAAATTAATCTTTTAAAAAACGTATTCCTCACAAAATTCATGTTCACAACACAATCGGTAGATAAATGTGTAAATTTTCTATGATGAACAGAATCAAGGGAAATGCTAAACTGAGAGTTAAAATATCAGTTACCAATTTACCATGATAGTATTTCAGAATTTATGTTTTAAAATTCACATACTTTTGATGAGGTTAATATCAAATGTCTGAGGGTAATTTCTTCCCCTGTAAACATAAGTCATTAGGTTTATTTCTCTTTCTAGTGGCTACAGTGTATCACTAAAGAAGTGAGCCAGAGTTTCTTACATATAAATTATCCTTTAGTTATTCTGAATTCCTTTCCCAGTTTCAGGCCAAAGGGGTCCTTCAAAAAGTTCATGGAAAGATTTATATTATCTTTAATTCTATTTTTCCATGAACTTTTTGAAATACCCTCATATTTACAAAAATTGCAAATATCCTGTAAAAATGTTTGTCCACTGGAAGGTTCTGAATAGATCTAGATAGACTGTGATAAAAAAAAAAAAAAAGTGAGGCACATTAATAAACACAAACTGGATAGGCACATTTCTGGTTTTGTTATTGTTTTAAAAGGCACATATTACGCAATCCATATAAAAATAAATTAAATCTACAGCATTAATTCACCAAAACAATCACAACTTCTATAAAGTTAACTAAGTGCAGAAGTAAATTTCTCTGCTGTCTTTTGCAAGCTTATTTTAAAACACATTGCACTTGAGAATTTAAAAATATCACATAAAACACCATTTACACTTTATTAATATATTTCAAATTACAGATTTTCTGCATACAACTTGGATTCTGGTCTGATTACTATATGGCTCAATTAGTCAATTACTATATTACTCAATCTGATTGAGTGTTCTGAGTTAACATTATCCAAACCTTAGAATTCATGTTCTGCTCATATCCATTAAATATCAAACTTATGACCTTTCAAAGCTATCTCTGACTCTAAAAATTTATGGAAAGCTAAATTATTTTGTGCTTGCTCTCCTGAAATTTTAGGCCTGATATTAATAACCCCTTTTTTCAACATAGACACTGAAGATAACTTAAATTTTCAGCCTCTGAAAACTTCATTTTTACTGAGAATCTGAATAAATGTGCTTCCTGAATATTGCAGTTGATCATTTACAGCGTAGAAAATCATTTCAGTGCTATTTCTTTCAATGACTCACTTTAAAAGTGTGATTTAATTTTTGTAGTCAGCTCTCAAATATGCCTAAGTTTGAAAGACATCTTACAAGTTAGAAGAGTGTTTGGAAAGAACAGATGATGCAGAATGGTAGGTCTGTACTACTCCTTCGAGCCAACCACTCTCCCAGGTCCATCAACAATCCGCCAGGTATCGTCCTGAAAAACACCAAGCAGACCTTTGCAATTACAACTTCAAGTGCACTCAAAGAAGGACCTTTTTCATTGTGGTTACAGATATAGAATCTAGTTCCCATCTGCTGTTTATAATACATCAGAATCAGATCACAGGTATTCAGCTATACTGAACATGGATACTCTCTCACCCAGGTGTGTCTACCTGGCAGCCCACACCAAAGGTTAAAGAAAAAATTTCCATGCCTTTAGATTATAAACTGCTTGACAGTTGTTTAGTAACTAACTGTTAGAATACAAATGTTTCCCACATACATTAAAAAGTCTGAAATCTCCCAACTTACCGGTGGCAAATCGCTTCTTTACTAAGGAAAGCCTATAGCCAGTGCCTACAAGTTCGATATCTACTCCTGAGAGGGTATTTCCCTCACTGAGGAATTGCACTGCAAGTGTTGCGGGTTTACTGGGTCCTTCTGAAAGATCAAATTTTGCTCTAAGGGACCCAGAACCTACAAAGAAAAGAATAAATAACTTACACAGAGTAAAATGCATTTCATGCCAAATAAAATCAAATAAGCTAAACTACATCAGTCCTGTGTTAAATTCATGAGATGTGTACAGTAAACAAATCATTGTCTTGTTTCCAAATCAGATTTTATTCAGTGAATATGAATTTTCGCTAATAATCTTACTCTGTGCTTCTCTTTGACTTAATACTAATCTTTAGAGATTTTTACTATCAAGACTCCCATGCTATTATGCATGTTGAAGTGAGTCAAAAGAGAAGAAGGAAGTAACTGAGGGCAGCTCTAGGAGGGAAACTCTAGGAGGAATATAGACAAGATAAAGTAAAAAGAAATGATTGTTGAGTACCAGATCATGGGGGTGGGAGAGGTAAAGAAGGAAAGGCAGCTACCAGTGGGAAGAAATGTATCAACATTACTATTTTTTATTCACATTTCTTTTAAAAATTTTATTGGTCTAACATAATGCCAAATACATATTTCTGAAGCGCTTTTTGATATAACCATTTACTCAACATACCAAGTCTAACAGCATGGTAGAAACAGTAAGCCAATAATTATGATGAATGTAATAAATGCTGTAAAGAAGTTCTCAGGAGCTATAGTCACAAAAGCACATATCTCTGCTGGAGGTTGTAAATGGCAGTGGTGGTGATGATAGTGTGTATTTTTGGCAGAAGTAACTACACGTACAGAGACAGGAGACCTAAGAGAGTATGATGCATTTAAGGGAACTGCATCTAGACCAGAATAGCTGGAGAACAGGATACAGTAAAAGACAGCAGCAGAGGAGACTGACTACAGTGGTAGCAGGGACCAAGCCATAGTAAGAAACTTGTGACATAACCATAGGGAATCAATCATCAAAGATAAGGAAAACAACAATATTTCAGATTAGTGTCATAGAAGGGGATAGAGAACCAAAAGGCAAGGTAGGGAGACCAACTACAAGTCAATAAAATAGTTTAGGACTCTAGGTAAGAGGAAAGGGGGATCTAAACTAGGGCTATGGGAAAGAAAAGAAGGGAATGCATTTGAAAGATATGTAGGAGTTGGAATCAAGAGGTGGGAAAGGAAGAGGAGTCTAGGAGGGTTCCCAGGTTTCTGATTCGGGCAAGTGGACAAAATTGCTAGATAACAAGAGTGAAAGTCTGTGATCCCCTGCACAGAAGTTTAATACCACAGAGAGAAACGAGGAACAAGATGTCACAATACTGATTCATCCTATACTATTGTGACTGGTAGCACAGGTCAGCAGTGGGGATGAACTGCTACCTAATTCTTAACAATTAGCCAAGCCTTCTTTAAACTTTTACAACTCTTGATAAGCAATTCAGTTCTGTGAAACTTCCCCCATAGGCAAAGAGCAGCCACCCTGGCAATAGTTAAACTTTAGAATTATTTCTTGTCTCTCTTCTGGGTATACAGCCAAAAATAGAAAACAGATTTCTACCTCACAGTATTTTAATTTGGATACTTCTTTTCAACAGCTTGACTAACCACATCAGAACCACATTTGTAAGATCTTTCCAATTCCTCATATAAACACTTTTGATACCTGAATAGCAGAGGGAAACTTAAAATATCTGGTTAGAAAATTAGTGACTTATTTTTGAATTCCTTTCTTGGTGAGTATTTACAATAGTATAGTGTTATTAAATAGGGGAAAAGGACATCCTTTCTTCCTTGCTGACTGGTTGTAAGCCTTCAGTGCAAGTAGGATTTCTGATTTACTTCCAGTTTAAACTAGGAATTTCAGCTTGGCTCCCCAAAAGCCAGATAGCTAGGTAAAAGTCAGTGCAGCTGACCACCTGAAAATAGGCAATCTTTAAGTACTGGACAGCAAAAAAGGAACTTCAGATTAGCTTAGTTATTTTACCAATTGTGTAGCTCTCTAGTAAAAGTCTGATTCTGCATGGCAGGTATAAACAAACAGACAACACAGTTATGTTCATGGTCCTTAATACAGAAATACCTATAAGAAAAACAACTGATATGTTTTATATTTTAATCACATTATGCTCAAAGTGTTCAAAAAAAAAAAAGAGACTGAGCAAAATCTGAAAAGCCCCAAAACTTACTCCATAGGAGAAGTTATTGGAGGCTTATTAGTCATTCAAAAGTGGACAGAATTCTCTTTTGATTAAGAGAAAATCAGAATATCTAATGTTAAAGACTTGACTGTCCTGGGGATTATATCCTAATTATAAACTGAGTTAGAGGAGACACTAGGAGTGATCAGCTAGCAGAGATTTTTTCTTGGTGTTGTGAACACAAACAGATACAGACTTAGTGGGAGGAGGCAATTAACTTGCTTCCTGTTAAAAAAAATCATTACAGAATTGAAGGCTATTGACGGTTAGCTTTAAGAGAGGAAAGTGACCAGGAAAGCTTCTCTTAGGAAGATAAGTAGGCAAGGGGGATTTTTAAAGCCTAGAAGCTTCTACATGATTTCTGAGGGGGGTGGGGGGAGGACCACATTAACAGAATGAACTAAACGATGTGTTAAGTCAGTTTCAACTAGTTATCAGGTTACCTACCTGGGATAGATATTTCTTTAAGTTTACTTTATTAGGTTTTTTTTTTTAATTTTATTTTTATTGATTATACATATTCATGGAGCACAGGGCTGACCATTAGCACCTGTAGCCAAGATGTGATGATCAGATCAATACTGTCAGCATGCCCACCACCTCAAATTGCAATTGTTCCCCATGTTCCCCACCCAATCTCTCCCTATCTCCCCTCCCGCTCCCGGTATTTTAATATTAGCATGTAGATAAGAAAAATTAATGTAATATTTATAAAGTTATTACAAAACAAGTTCTTTTTCTTACAGATAAAGCATATTCAATCTAGATGGGGAAAAAAATGTGTTCTGAATCTCAGCTGGTCCACTCTTATTTAAGGTATTAACTTCCACCTAGTGGTCAGTTCTGTAACTGAAGGCATAAAATTCCAGAAGGAAACTTACATAAACACAACTTTTAAAAAATCCATTTTCGGTGACATCACATTATAAACAAAGAAAATGCACACACTTACCTCCATTTTCTGATTTTTCTGAAATACCAGACAATTTCCAAAAGGCTTTCATTTGTTCTGCATTCCTGTAATAAGAACAAATATCTTCAGATTGTGTCCCATATAGTACCTTATGTATGAATGGGCACTCAATAAATAAATGCATTTTAAATATTTCCACTATAACAATTATTGTTCTAAGTTTATTTTTAAAAGTATTAGCTGGTGAAAATGTGTTTATAGGTGTAGAATAAATAAATGTAATGCTGTATCTTTCTCAATTAATGGAAGATTACCAAGTTACATAATTCTTCTCATTTCTATTGTCAGAGAAAGAAAACTGAATGTGTATAGGTGGCCCAATACCTTCATTAGTCAAGGATGACACACTGTTACTAAATGATGAAGCATATATAAACAGTGGTTAAAGTCTATATATATTAATAGAGAGGACAAGAGAGGTGGTTAAGAGACGGGAGTAATTAATACCATCGAACACTAATCAGACAGGTGATCCTATATAAATGCCAGATGCTATATTTAACTCGGTAAAATAATTTTTATCCTGATTTTTTTAATTAAAAAAAAAATGTAGAGTGGTTAAGCAATTTGTCTAAGAGTAAACTTAGTATGGAATCATTCAAATTTGGGTGGTACTTTCAGCAAAATTAGATTTTGGATTGAGGCTATTGTGGATTGACCAGTAAAATGAACAGCATCTTTTTTTTTTTTGTCTTTTTTCGTGTCCGGCAACGGATCGCAACCCTCAGTGTCGCGCCCGTACTGGACCGGGACCGGCAACGGGATCGCAACCTTCGGTGCTGCGCCCGCACCTCGCTCAGCCAGTGAGCGGGAACTGGTCTGTATGTGGGATCCGAACCCTCGGCAGGAGCGCCGCCGCGCTCCCAAACGGCACACTGTAGAAGTGCGCCACCGGGCCGGCCCATGAACAGCATCTTTTACAGCATGGTTTCTATGGGAAAACGCAATAAAACTTTTCAAATTTATAAGATAACTTTCTGAATTTGGGTCCTAAATTTTGGGGATTGCAACAGAAATTCAGCAGGAGTTCAGAAATATATTTAACTTACCACATTGCAGGGGGAAGGGACTGCATGTTTGTGACTCCTCCATCCACTGGTACTACCACCTGTATATTAGAAAGCACACTAGGTGCCACCATAGCTTCTGGATTGTACTTATAATCCACTCTAAGATCTGTGGTGTTAGCACTACATTTCCAGTATGTTGCAAGATTCAGAGGAGTAGACTGAATGCCGTTTGATGATACCTTTAAGAGAAAAAACAAACAAACAATTGTTGTTGGCCTGAAAAGTAAACTAGTCATGGATACCTGAACATAAGAGTTCACAGAATCAAAAATATCTAATGAGGGAACTACCTGTTGCTAGGCAGAGTAAAGCAGACTCATCTCAAAGGAGTGAGGGTCATTCTCAATGTGTGGACCTGGTGCTTATAAGCATCATTACCTTGATGCTTATTTACAATGCACATTCCCCTGCCTCCAACTGCAGAAAATCTGAATCAATAACTTAGGAACAGGGCCCAGAAATCAGCATGTTATCAGATGATTCTTATTTATGTGTATAAAGTTTAAGAAACTCTCAACACTCATCATAGAATTCTAAGATTCTTATGAATTATAAAAATCTGGATTTAAAACTGAGAGAAAAGGATAGGTCACCATGCAGTTCCACAAGCCTGGAATTAGAATATTACCAACTTCAAATGTTTTAACTTGAATCACATGACCCATAGTAAATGGTACAATTCCTTCTAATTCTTCAGCTCCTTGCTCAAATGGCTCCTTTTCAAGAAGACCTACCCTGATCACCCTGTTTAAATTTACACTGAAAATTGCATTTTCAATCTTCCTTACCTTACTCTATACTTTTTCTTTTCTCCATACCACTTATTTTCTGACATACAATAATATTTATTATGTTTACCATCTCCTTAACCTACTTCCCAACAATTAGCAAGCACTGAATGATAAATATCTGTTGAATGAATGAATAAATGAATACTTGTAATAAACTTTAAACCAACTTGTGGCAGCGCTTTTTTACTCTTTAAGTATTTATTTTCTAGAAACATACGTCATTTTAATATAATTACCCTATTAAAAATTCAAACAATACAGAAATATATAAAATTGGAAATTTATCCCTTAGCATTCTTATTCCCCACTGTTAATATCACGCTACATATCTTTGCAGAGTTTTTAGGCATGTGCAAACAGGGATCCATCTCATTCTTTTTAATGGTTGTAATAATTCATTTAAACAATCTATTTCTCTGCTGATGTGTACTTTGGTGGTTTCCAAACAATGTTGCAGTGAATATCCTTTGTACCTTATCTTTGCCCATTTGTGTGATTTCTGCAGAATAGATTTCCGGAAGTGGAATTATTGGATTAGAAACTACATCTATTCAGCAATCTAACAATCTAATCTAAGAATTGCCTTCTTAGAGGTTCTATTAATTTGTACTCATATTAATAAGTGGTCACATCCCTCTTAATACTGAATAGATCAGTCTTTCATTTTTGTGAGTCTGATGGGCTAAAACTGAAACCTCACTGTTGTCTTAATATTCACTGCTCTGATTACTACTGACATGGAGCATCTTTCCATAAGTTATTGAGTTATTCTCCATATACTTACTAATTTATAAGGGTTCTTTGGGGTAAGTCCTTTTGTCTATCTTATGTGCTGCAAATACTTTTCCCTCAGATTAAATATTGATTCTGTTTATGGGTTTGTTTGCTTTAACCAAATATTTTACACATACGTACACCTTTTTGTGTCAAATATCTCACTGTCTTCTTATAAGGCTTCGGGGTTTTATATTGTACTTAGAAAGGTCTTCCACACTTCAAGATTAAAATATATAATAAATATATGGTATGCACACACACACACACGTAGATACACATATATTCACCCATGATTATTTTAGTACCTTTATGGTTTCACCTATCACCATTTAACCTTTGATACATAAGGATTTTATTTTGGTTAAAAGTACGAGACAGGGGTCAGCTTAATTTTCTCTCAAATGTCTAGCTTGCTGCCCCAGCACAATTCATTGAAAAATTCGTCTTTACACATTGCCTTGAAATGCTACTTTGTCATCTAAACAATTTTCCATTTATTCTTAGACCTCTTTCTGGATACTCTAATCTGTTCCATTCATCTGGCCCTCTATTGCTGTTGCAGTTCTAAATTATTTTAAATACCGTCATCTTCCAATAGGTTTTCTCATTAAAGCTAAAATGTTACTCTACTTTACTGTTTAAAACATTTCTTGGTTTATTCTTCCAAGCTTTATTCTTCAAGCTTTCATTTTCATTTTCTTTTCAAGAAAACTTGAAAATGATTATCAAGTCTTCAAACACAAACAGACCACTACTGGGTTTCTGATCAGGATTATGCTAAATTTATTGTTAACTTAGAAACAGATAAACTTTTTACAATATGAGCCTTTTTAAAAATTAATAAAGTATACCTTTTTAACTATATTCAATAAATAGAGATTGTATTCTGTTTCTCCCTGTTTTTTTATTATGAATATTTTTCTCCATTAATTTTTCTAACTAATTGATTTGAAAGTTATTAATTTTTGTACGGTCACCCACCCTTATGTGCGGGGCATATGTTCCAAGACTCCCAGTGGATGCCTAAAACCACAGATAGTACCAAACCCTATATATACCATCATTTTCTTATACATGCATTCCTATAATAAAGTTTACTTTGTAAATTAGGCACAGTAAGAGATCAGCAAGAATAACTAATAATAAAATAGAACAGTTATAATAATATACTGTAATAAAAGCTATATGAATGTGGTCTCTCTCTCTCAAAATATTCTATTATGTCATTTGTAAATTAGGCACAGTAAGAGATCAGCAAGAATAACTAATAATAAAATAGAACAGTTATAACAATATACTGTAATAAAAGCTATATGAATGTGGTCTCTCTCTCTCAAAATATTCTATTATGTCATACCTCAGGTAATTGAAACAGCCGAAAGCCAAACTGGTAATAAGGGGAGACATAGTAGTTAACTTTTAAACAGACTACCTTACTAAATTCCCCTATATCAAATGGTTTTTCAATTTATTCTCTTGAATTTTCTAGGAATATATCACTTCCAAGTAATAATAATTTTGCTTCCTTTTTTTCAACATGTATTACTGTTTATTTTATTCTCTAGTCTAACTGTACTGGCTAACACATCCAGAAAAATCTTGTATACTATCAGGAATAATGAGTGTCTTTGCCATTCCTGACTTTAATTGATTGCTATAGATGTTTCATTATTAAGACTGATGCTGCTGGTCTTTTCAACTTAAAGACAAATTCATGTAGTTATATTTACAGTATTTTAGTCAAGAATAGATGGGAAATTTTATCAAACTGGTCAAAATCTCCACTGGCTTATTAACAGATTTTCTAATTTTGAAACATCTTTGCATTCCTGGAATGCACCTCATTTGGCTATGACATTTATTGATTTAATGATTTGTTAGTTTCCATTTGTTAATATTTTAACTTGGGATTTTTACAATAAGATGACACTCACCTGATACTTTAATACATCTACATTATAATAAGAAGCAGCTGGATTTTGCTCTGATAGCTTCTTGAGGTAGAGAGTAACTGCTTGCATGTTCATCCAAAAATCTTTTGTGTTGGAATCACACTGTGATGGATCACTATATATATAAAAAATATTTTTGTTATTTTATTTGACTTATCTTTATCCATTGTCTCTGTTTAGTAATCTGGGGACCTGAGAAAGACTAGAAGAAATGAACAAAAAGGTAGGATGAGGGAAAACTAAGATTACAGGATAAAGAATGAAACATAGCAGAAGCTTGCCTGAGAGATGAGAAAATGGACAAAGAGAAAAGGCTTTAAAAATAACTATCACCACAACCAAAAACAAAATAAAAAGACAACAGAAAGCTGTTTAATGATAACATATAACTTTGGTACTGTCTTTGAGTTGAATATTATTGTTTCAAAGAAAAACAAAAAAATTTCTTAAAAAGAAATTTCAACCTTCAAAACAAAAGTATACAAACCTGAACACAAGTTGTGCATTTGGAAGAATTTGCTCTAGTCTGCTGATATTTTTTATCCTGAAGCACAGCACAGCTGGAGATGGATTGCTAGTGAAGACTTTAATAATTCCACTTGGAAATGATATTGTCATGTCACCAGTTATCCTCACAATACACCTGAAATTGGAGATTTGGAAACATGTTTAAATAAAATGTTTTAATCTACATTTAAAGCATGTTTGGTTTAAAAAGGCATGCATACACATACACACACACAAGAGGGTCTTCAAAAAATCCATAAGATTCAAATTATCTATTAATTCTGTTTTCTCATGAACTTTTTGAGGACCGTGTGTGTGTGTGTGTGTGTGTGTGTGTGTTATATAGCTGTCCCTGTTATCTGTGGGGGTTGGTTCCATACACAAGTTCCTTATATAAAATGGCATAGTATTTGCATATAACCCATGCACATCCTCCTATATATTTTAAATCATCTCTAGATTACTTATAATACCTAATACAATGTAAACGCTGTGTAGTTTTATACTGTATTGCTTTTTACTTGTATTATTTTTTATTGTTTTTTTAAAAATATTTTCCATCCACGATTGGCTGAATCCATGGATGTGGAACCCACAGATACAGAGGGCCAACTGTGTATACACACATGTGCATGCATTCATTTGATATGTATACATATATGTGTACATATGAGGGTACTTCAAAAAGTTCATGGAAAAATTTAATTCCATTTTAATTCTAATAATTCTATTTTAATTCTATTTTTTAAAATTTTAACAGAATTAAAATAGAATTAAAGCATATTTGGTTTAAAAAGGCATACACACACATAAGGGGTCTTCAAAAAGTTCATGGAAAGATTCACATTATCTTTCAATTCTATTTTCTCGTGAACTTTTATTTATTTATTTTTTTAAAAGACGACCGTAAGGGGATCTTAACCCTTGGCTTGGTGTTGTCAGCACCATGCAGCCAGTGAGTGAACCAGCCATCCTTATATAGGAACCAAACCCATGGCCTTGGTGTTATCAGCACCGCACTCTCCCGAGTGAGCCATGGACCGGCCCTTCTCATGAACTTTTAATTCTATTTTTCCACAAACTTTTTGAAGTACCCTCATATATACTTTATCATAACCATAAATTATTTTTTCAATTTAATTATAAAAAAATGAGTCTATGTGAAATGACATACTCATCTAGTATCGTCTTTTCCTGGAATTAAACTCCAACACAAACACAAGCACACTGATAATGTTCCTTCACTTTTTTGTGGTAATCATCTCCTGGCTGACCTGTAAGGACATTACTTCCCTGGTAACATTATCCCTAGTTGCAGCTATTTTCCCCTCTCAAACCCGAAAGCAGTGGGCTTGATGGTGGTAGTAGATGTCCCCCTTGCTCCTTGTTGCCTCTTCCAACCCTCTATTCCTTCTTCCTTTGAAACTCATGCATCAGACCATATTACTTACTACCCCATCCCTTTCAAGTCATCTTCAACACTCCCTTTCATTTCCTGAAAATCTGAGCTCCTGCTCAAACTGTCGGTCTGTCTCTGCAGCACTACTCATATCTGAATTTTCAGTGATTTCAATATCCACATAGGTGGTCCTTTCAACACCCTGCTCATCTAGTTTTTCAGGCTCTTACCTCCAACGATGCTGTTTTTCAGCCTATCTGAGCCATGCCCTAGCCTTTCCATAATCTCAATTTCAGACTCCCCACTCATCTACTTGGCACTTTGTATTTTTCTAACTCATTTTGTCTAATACTGCATCCACGACAATTCTCCAACCTCATCAAAATCTCCACAATCCATTGCTCCTACTACCTTTTCCACTAAACTTTACTCCTTCACATCCTCCGTTCTTCCTATCTTTGGATTTCCTGGTCCATCATTATACATTCTCCTTTGCATAAACTCTTCTTTGTCCTTCTTTCACTGGACTGTACTTTGCTTGGCAAACAACAGTCTTAGCTAAAAATCCAGTTCCCCACTCACATCTGTATAGGGGAATGTGACTAGAGAAAAACACATAACCACAGTCATAACTCTCAACTGGGTCCCCTTACTGTTACCTGATATTCCTATCACATCCCTGAGTCTATTCACTCTTCTGTTCTTTTCATATTCCCTTCCCCAACTCTCAGCTGATGACTTTCCTTTTAATTTTACTGAAGAAATAGAATCAGAAAAGAACTTGCTCATACTCTCACTATTAAACTTCCAATTGACCTAATTCTCTAACCATATCTTCTGCCTTCTCTTCTGTTTCAACAGATGATCAGTTTCCGCACCTAAGGCCAATCCCACCAATTCTGCACTGGAGCTCATGTCTTTTAACATACTGAAGCACTCATGCAATTGTTCCCTCTCTTTTCTACAGGTCTAATTTTTTCCATAAATACTGGGTCTTTCCCATCAGCACACAGACATGCTGAAATATATAATCATCTTAAAACACACACACACACACACACACAAACTATGATAAATAAAACCCCCCTCTGATTCTACCATCTCACTCCTGCTAACATTCTATTTCTCTGCTTCCACTAGAGCAAAACATCCTTAAAGAGTTGTCAATATTTCTTCTTTCCAAATACAGTTGTCTATATTTGCATTACCTCCTGCTCCTGAAACTCCCTCCAAGCAGGCTTTCATCTCCACCACAATACTAAAATTGCTCTTGTGAAGATCACCAATGCCCTCCGTATTGTCAATGGTCAATTTTTCTTGACCTGTCAGCAGTATCAGATACAGCATCACAACTTCCTTCATGAAATGATTTATTCACTTAGTTTCTGAACACTGTTCTCTTGGTTCTCTCCTCGCCTCTCTTGCTGCTTTGCTGGATCATTCTTATCTCCCTGTTTTTTCAATACTGAAGGGGACCAAGACTTATTCCTAGGATCTCTTTTCTATCTACTCCTTAAGGTCCCTGTTTTTAAGTAGTATATACAAAGTAATGACTACCAAATATTTTATCTCTAGCCTACATTTATTCCCTGAACTCAGAATTACATATCCATCTATCAACTCAACATTTCCACCAAGATGTATTAACAAGTACTTCAAACTTAGCATTCTACTCCCTCAGCAAATCTTGACAACTCTGTTTTCAAAATATATTCAGAATCTCATTACTACTCACCACCTCCTCTGCTAATATCCTCATATAAGCCACCATCATCTCTCATCTGGACTTCTGAAGTTAATCCTCTAACTTCTCGCTCTGCATCCATTCTGGCTCCCTCCACTTTATCCTCCATAGAGCAGCCAGAGTGTTCTTTGTCAGAAACAGAAGTAACCTCATCACTCCTCTGCTCTAAAGTCTCCACTGGGTTTTCACCACACTCAAAATAAATTTCCAACTCTTTATCATGGCCTACAATGCCCAACCTGATCGTGGTACCTCTCTGAATTCATCTTCGACTACTCTCCCCCTTGTTTACTCCAGTGACGTGGTTCTTCTTGCTATTTCTTGACTATGCCAAGCATGCTTTTACTGCAGTCCCTTACACTCACTGGCTCTCTTGTCCTGAAATGTTCTTCCATCAGATATCTGCATAGCTTGCTCCTCCATGTCTTTCAAATATGTGCTTAATGTAACTTTAAAAAGGTTTTCCCTGATCATTCTATCTAAAATAGTAGACTTCTTTTGTTATGCTCTATCCTCTTATCCTGGTTTATTTTTCTTCACAGCCTGTATCAATACCCAATGTACACAGCTATCTGTTTCTTTTATAATTGGTTTTTCCTCACTGTAATGCAAGCTCAGGAGAGAACTCTGTTTTGTTTATTAAAGTATTCTCAGCACTTATAACAGAGTCTTACCCACAGCAGGCACTCAAATATTTGATGAATGAGTGTATGTTGAATGAGTACTTTTATGCACCAACAGCAGGGGTGGTCATTCACACAAATATAATTCTCTTAAAAGAAAAGGATTAAACCAATTCTGCAAGAATCTTATACTAAACACGAATTATAGGTCTCTCTTGGAAACATAATAGTTTCACAACAGACACAAATTAGGCCAAGATTCAGAGATCCATCCCCATCCACATCAGCTGCCATCTGCTTCATAAATATGCCAAACAACACATGTGTCATATTGGTCATAAAGACTGGGTAAGAGTATAAATAAACTTGGAGAAAGCTATCACTACTGCTGATTCTTTAAATTGAAAGACAATCCTTAAATGACTATATTAGATAGCAAAAACCAGGTAAATAAACAAATAGAAAACCCTAACCTATATACAATCAACATATAACTTAAAATTTACCACCAAGCCCCCCTGCAAAACACACACACACACACACACACACACACACACACACTCTCTCTCTCTCTCTCTCTCTCTCTCTCTCTCTCTCTCTCTCTCTCTCTCTCTCTTAAATAAACTAACTTAGTGGGATCTGCTCCTTTAAAGTAGGCATTAACAGATTCTGTAAGGGCAACTGCCACAGGTAAGGTGTCCTGATTTCCAAGGCTGACAGGGCTGGGACCTCGTGACACACCTAGAAAATATATAATTCATTTGTTAAATCCTTCAGAAAAACATATATTAAATACCAAGACAGACTCACAATGTTAGGTTGTCACAAATGACCCTATTACTGGTTTTTAAGGATGCCCCAAGTACAAATCTGAAAGTTAAAAAATATAGCTTAAAACAAATTGGAACGTAATACAAAGGACCAAAAAAAAAAAAAATCAGGAAGACATAACATACCAAGTTTTCTTTTAAATAGAAAGACACAGAACAGTTAAGGAAAGACACTGAAAAAGCTCTGTACTTGAAGAACTAAAATTATTAAAAATATGGCTTGAAAAACACTTAAATATCAACTTCTTTCAGGTTATAACAATCATCTATTTCAGGCATTTAACTGGATTTTTGTACTTAAGTTATTTCTACCCAAGCAGTGATGTTTCATATACTACTCATTATTGTTATAATTCTCTTTAACCTCCTCTTTGTCTGATGCTTATATTTTCCCATTTTCTTGCCTCAATAAATATTTGACTAATAAGATTACTTAAAAAAAAAAAATTCCTGACATAAAGTTCACTCTGATAAGATACTTTTAGAGTCAACTATATAAAGATCAGTGTGTTTAAAGCATAATAAAATGTAAACAAATTTAAACTACATATGTGTTCAGGTTTCTATTTTTTGTTTTTTAACTTAAACTAAGTATCCTCTTCAAAATAGTGCACTGTCTTTGCTTTTCTTCACAAATGTGCTCTTCCCACATATGCCTTAACACTATTGCTACTGATTTTCCTAAGTGAAACACTTCATTTAATATACAATATGATGCAATTTTAGAAATGTAAGTCAATAGGAGAGTTTGTTATAATTACTCTTACTAAAAAAAAGAATAACCTTGGTCAACACATATCTCTAAAATCTGAATGCATGCTTTTCTTACATAAATGTTACAAAATGTTAATACCACCAGATATTTTTATTTTGGATGTGACTCCCTATAATAGAAGACTAAGTTACTTTTGAGATATCTGGAGTACTAATTCTGGTAAAAATTAGTACTGGCTTTCTCTACTTTACAACTAAACTTGAGATCTTACAAATAGTGAGAAAAAATATTTTGTTAGCTTTAGAGGCCAGGAAGATCGTGTAGAATTCTAGATTTTGAAGGAATTTTGACTTAGAAAGTTCTTAATGATTAGAAAAATAACTTAGTGATGAAAAATACATGGAGACAAGAACTGCTGCTTCTAGGCCACTGGGAGAAGTAAACCTCCCAAAACAAGAAAACTTAAAATTTTATGTGAAAATAACTCAATATAAAAATGTATTCACAAAAATCACAATAGTTACTCTTATTAATCACTAACATTTGCCAGGCATGTGGCTAAGAATCATGAAAAAATATGGTGCCTTTTTGAACCATAAGCAGTAGTTTTACAAAGTGGAAGCGTCGTTCTTTCACAGGTGAGGAATAGGCTGGAATGATGAAAGGACAAGAAGATGAAGCTGCAGAAGTGTTTACCATCGAGATCAGGGTGTGAAAGACCTTTAATTTAATCATTTTGGCATTGAAAACCACTGGTAACGTTTAAGAGAAACTCCATTAGGTTTTTTACTTAGTAAGTCCACACTAAACACAGAGTGGCTCCTGGAATGAAGAGAAAAATGACTGTTGGCAGGGATTCAAGTTTGAACCAGATGAGAGTGATAGGTGAAAGATAAGCGCCTGATCATGAGGCATTAGTCTCTGGATGTATGTGAAAAAATGTTAAGTAAAGAAAGCAGACTAAGTATAAATTCACTGAGTATAATTATGCAAACACATGTTTGTGCACTGGGAAAATTTCACTGTAAATCTAAATTAGCTCAATTAACTCTTTTCCTAATATATTGTTCTTAACTAGAGGGTCATCAGGAATTCAAGCAAGCATATGAGGGGTCTTCAAAAAGTTCGTGGAAAATGCATATTACAGATGTAATGTTTAACAGCTGCTCTCAGCTCAGCTTGGGGAATTCAGTTTAATGGCAGCTTACTCTCCAGGATGAAAGGATGTCATCCACTCCCAGGGTAAGACACCCTCCAGCAGCAGTTCCAGTTCCAAGATGGCACAATAGCAGCAAGGGCCACAGACGGTGGGCACAGTGTTGGCTCCTCTGGGGTAGTACAACTGTGTGGACTCCAGGCAGCTCCCTCAGCTGGGCTTAGGGCCTGTGAGGACTGCCAGGGTCCCCAGTGGTGAGAGTGAAAAAAATTATTCTTGAGGACTCACTACATTCTGATATTCTGCGAGGAGTTGGAGATATAATAATGAGCAAAATAAACATGGTCCCTGCCCTCATAGAACTGACAATCTAGTATGGAAGGCAGTCACAGATATAAAATTTCTGCAAACAACTGTAATATTGCAGCTGTGAAAAGTACCCTGATGTTGAGTCAAAGGTGGTATAATCTGTTCTAGCCAGAAAGGTGTCAACTTAATGAATGCCTGGAAACCTGATTAAGCAATTTTTGGAGGTGTGTCTATGAGGGGGTTTCCACAAGAGATTAGCATGTGGGCCTGAGTGGACTGGATGGAAAGGATCCATCCTCAATATGGGCAGGCATCATCCGATCCACTGGGGACCTGGAGAGAATAAAAATAGAAGAAAAGGCAAACCTCTTTATCCAGTGGAGCTGGGATACACTCTTCTCTCCCATATGTGGACATTCAAACTCAAGACTCTTCAGCCTTTGGGTTCCAGGACTTACACCAGTGGCACTTCTGATTCTCAGGCCTTTGGCCTAGCACTGAGAATCACACCATTGGTTTCCCTGTTTTCAGGCTCCCAGACAATCATATTACTGGCTTCCCTGGTTCTGAGGTTTCTGGGCTTGGACTGAGCCACACTACCAGCATCCAGTTTGCAAAAAGCCTATCATGGGACTCTTCAGCCTTCATAATCACATAAGATAATACCCCTAATAATTCTCCTTTCATATACTACTGGCTTCCCTGGTTCTGAGGTTTCTGGGCTTGGACTGAGCCACACTACCAGCATCCAGTTTGCAAAAAGCCTATCGTGGGACTCTTCAGCCTTCATAATCACATAAGATAATACCCCTAATAATTCTCCTTTCATATATTTATATACATATCCTATTGGTTTTGTCTCTCTTAAGAACTCTGACTAATACACTGGGGATAAGGGTTAGATTTGTTCACTTTCATCAGGTTGAGTTAGAAGTTGCAGTGAGACATATAAAAACTGTCAAAAATGAAAAACAAATCAAAAAGGTCAAGTAGCATGTTTTTGTGATCTTTCACTGATTTCTAATTATTGCATTTTTGTTCCATTAAAAGGAAAATGTATATTATGAAAAAACTATGCATGGATTTCAAATATTTTTTGCACTAAAATTAGCTCATACTAACTTGTTATAACATATTTGAACAGGATGGAGTTTGAGGCGCTAAGAAGGGTAAGACAGCAGTTTGAAAAGAGCTCCTATCAGAGCGACATAAATTCTGCTAAAACTGAAGATAGAATAAACATCAAATTTATGGTGAAGCTTGTGTAGAAGACTGGTGAAAATCAATGATGCTTTACAAAAAGTATATGGGAACAATGCTCCAAAGAAATCAGCAGTTTACATATGGATAACTCTTTTTTTTTTTTTTTTTTTTTTTTTTTCCGTGTCCGGCAACGGATCGCAACCCCCAGTGTCGCACCCGTACCGGACCGGCAACGGGATCGCAACCCTCGGTGTTGCTCCCGCGCCTCGCTCAGCCAGTGAGCGGGAACCGGTCTGTATGTGGGATCCGAACCCTCGGCGGGAGCGCCACTGCGCTTCCCAAGTGGCGCACTATAGCAGTGCGCCACCGGGCCAGCCCCTGGATAACTCTTTTTAAGAAGGGATGAACAATGTTAAAGATGAAGCCTGCAGCAGCAGACCATCCACTTCAATTTGTGAGAGAAAAAACTGATCATGTTCATGCTCTAATTGAAGAAGACTGACAATTAATAGCAGAAACAATAATCAACATCATAGACATCTCAATTGGTTCACCTTACACAATTCTGACTGAAAAATTACACTTGAGCAAACTTTCCACTTGATGTTCCAAAACTTTCCAAAACTGCTGCACCCAGATCAGCTGCAGACAAGAGCAGAGCTTTCAATGGAAATCTTAAAACAAGTGGGATCAAGATCCTGAAGTATTTCTTGGAAGAATTGTAACAGGAGATGAAACATGGTTTACTAGTATGATCCTGAAGACAAAGCACAATCAAAGCAATGGCTACCAAGAGGTAGAAATGGTCTAGTCAAAGCAAAGGTGGACCATTTGAGGGCAAAGGTCATGGCAACAGTTTTTTGGGATGCTCAAGGCATTTTGCTCCTTGACTTTCTGGAGGGCCAAAGAACGATAACAACTGCCTATGATGAGAGTGTTTTGAGAAAGTTAGCCAATGCTCTAGCAGAAAAATGCCCAGGAAAGTTTCACCAGACAGTCCTTCACCATGACGGTGCTCCTGCTCATTCCTCTCATCAAACAAGGGCAATTTTTTGAGAGTTTCAATGAGAAATCATTAGGCATTCACATTACAGTCCTGATTTGGCTCCTTTTGACCTCTTCTTGTTTCCTAATCTTAAAAAATCTTTAAAGAGCACCCATTTTCTTCAGTTAATAATTTTAAAAAAGACTGCACTGACATGGTTATATTCCCAGAACCCTCAGTTCTTTAGGGATGAAGTAAATGGCTAGTATCACCACTTACAAAAGTGTCTTGAACTTGATGGAGCTCACGTTGAGAAAGTTTATATTTTTTACTTTCATCTTTTAATTCCATTTTTCCATGAACTTTTTGAAGTCCCCTTGTATTTCCAGAGAAAGATGAAGATTATAATAATCTTTTTCCCCAATTTTTTTACTGTGGTAAATAAAATACACATAAAATTTACTGTCTTAGCCATTTTTAAGTGTACAGTTCAGTGGTATGAAATAATACTCATAATGCTGTGCAACCATCACCACCATCCATATCTATAACTCTCTTCATCTTTAAAACTGAAACTCTAAACCCATGAAACAACAACATCCCATTCCCCTCCTCCTCCACCCCCTGGCAACCATAATTCTACAGACAGACCCTGATTTACAATTTTTTTACTTCACCGTGGTGAGAAAGCAGTACACTCTTGGTAGTAACGATGGGTTACATGCCAATAAACACATCATAAATTTAAAATATCATAAGTACAAAAATGCAGCTTCAACTTAAGATATTTTCAACCTAAGATGGGTTTATAAGGAAGTAACCCGTTACATGCCAATAAACACATCATAAATTTAAAATATCATAAGTCCAAAAATGCAGCTTCAACTTAAGATATTTTCAACCTAAGATGGGTTTATAAGGAAGTAACCCCATCATAAGTTGAGGAGCATCTGTACTTTGTCTCTATGAGCTTGACTGCTCTAAGTACATCATATAAGTGGAATCATAAAGTATTTCACTTAGCACCATGTCCTCAAGGTTCATCCATGTTGTAGCAAATGTCAGAATTTCCTTCCTTTTTAAGGCTGAATAATATTCCATTGTATACACATACCACATTTTGTTTATCTATTCATCTGTCAATTGACACTTGGGCTGCTTCCACCTTTTGGATATTGTGAATTGTGCTACTATAAACATGGGCGTTCAACTGTCTCTTTGAGACTCTTTCAATTCTTTTTGGTATATACCCAGAAATACAATTGTTAGATCATATGGTAATTCTATTTTTAATTTTTTGAGGAAGAGCCATACTAATTTTCATAGCAGCTGTACCATTTTACATTCTCACCAACAGTGCATAAGGATTCCAAATTTTTCCACATCTTCACCAACACTTGTTATTATAATAATCTTTTTTTATTAAAGAATTAATATTTTCCCTTGAGTAACTCACAAATGCATATTTACACACAGTCAAAGGTAACATTAATGTGTGCTACTGCTTTGACACTAAAAATCAAAAGAAACCTACAAAGTTAGTTATTCTTTTCAATTATCCAATTTGGTCAACGAGAATGAGTATTCCTAAAATAGTTCACCTGTAAATTGTTATGCCCATTACTGAAATATTGGCAAGTGGAGAAAAGTGTTAAAAAGAAAGAGAAAAACTCAAAATCCATTTAACATTTGGCATTTAACTTTAATCCCTTTTGCATTTTCTATTTTTGTTTTCCTTTCAAGATCATAGTGCACATACATACTTTGAAAAATGAATTTACATAGAAAATATGTACTTAAGTCCCTTAAAAAGTCTACATTTACACTATATTATTCTAAATAAATATTTTCTTAGAAATAAAAAAACTCTTTGTATTCTTAATAAGGATAGATTTTGGTTTCCAATTCCAGTTTAATTGTTGCATATTTAGACAATTGTTTGTTTTGAAAATGTAGAGCTTATAAACTTGAGGTAATTAAGGGGTAAAGGTACCTTCCTATAATAATAAGTAGATATTTATGCAGAATTCCTTTCAGCTCAGAAGTAAAAAACAGGTTCACTCCCAACTATCTCCTACCTCTGTGCTTCTAACTTCTGTTCACTATCTGCATGGTTTTCATCTGACAGCCTTGGTTTAGGTATTATAATTTTTTTAAGCTGACTTTTCTTTCTGCTTTTTTTCTAATCACTTTTTCTCTGATTCTGCAGGGAGATGGAAGAAAACGTAAAAATACTTTATGTTTTTATAATTGGGGATTTTGTATCAATAGATCCTATACTGCAACTGGACATAATTAGCACAAAATTGAGATAGTTAATCTTAGGGTTATTCATGATTTCTGAGACACCGTACATTGCTGGAAAAAAAAAAAGTTAGGTGACAAAGTATTTTAGATACACTTTAGGACCATTAGTCAACACATACATTTGACTCTTATACAATACCTGGTGATGTCTCACAGTGCTTTTGAATTTCAGAAAGTGTTCCAATCAAATTATCATCTTCTATCATATTTAAATAAAACAAAATATTGTAGGAAAAGAAAATATTTTCAAAAAACAAGAATCATCATAAAGAGAACTTTTTAGATAGATTTAAAAGAACCTTTGTTCTACTAAATCCAAATACAACCTGCTCGGCCTGTATCATCACTGTCACTTACTTTGGGTTCTGCTATTGCCAGCACTGGCTGAAAGCATAAACAAATATGTGCCAACTCAATCAAAATTAGCTTAACGTTTCCACTGCAAACAGAAACCCTTCTGAATATTCTAAAGATAATGGAAAAGAATTAAAGCTTATTTTGGTTACCCAGATCACCTGCCTGATTTCTAGTAGGGCCCATCTATGTTTTTTATGACTAAAATGCATACTCTGTAGAGACAAAAATCAACCAAACCACATATGCAAACAAAAAATAAGAATTTGGTTCATTAAACCAAATAAAATAACAAACTTATTAGATATATTCAGTTTATATAAAGTTAAAAGATAGGAAAAATGCTATGTTTATGAAGGTATATAAAAGAAGATGATGACATCAAGTTTAAACATTTAGAAATCAAACCATTTTATATTTCTTTTTTTTTTTGTCTTTTTGTCTTTTTTCGTGTCCGGCAACGGGATCGCAACCCTCAGTGTCGCACCCGCACCTCGCTCAGCCAGTGAGCGGGAACCGGTCTGTATGTGGGATCCGAACCCTCAGCGGGAGCGCTGTCATGCTCCCAAGCGGTGCACTCTCCAGTGCGCCACTGGGCCGGCCCTACCCTATTATCTTTCAAATAAACTTTTTATTTTGGAATAATTTTAAATTTACAGAAAAGTTGCAAAGACAGTACAAAGAGTTCCCATACAACTTTCATTCAGTTTCCCTAATGTTAACATCTTACATACATTTGTGAAAACTCAGAAATTAACATTAGTCTATTACTATTAACTAAATCACAAACTTTATTCAGTTTCACCAGTTTTCCCACTAATGTGCTTTTTCTGTTCAGATCTAATCCAGATGCCGCTTTGCATTTAGCCATATTATTTTAAATTTTTGTCCCACTTTCTCAGTGTTTCTTGCATGCTTTAGATTGGCTGTTCATTTGTGTTCCTGCTCTATTTTTCCCTGTCTACCTGTTTGGAATTTACATAATTCACTTATATTCTTTAAGTGGTTACTCTTGAAACTTTACCATGCATATTTAATTTAACAAAGTCTAAATTTAAAGTTTCTTTTTTTTTTTGTCCTTTTTGAGACCGGCCACACTGCACTCAGCCAGTGAGCGCACTGGCCATCCCTATATAGGGTCCGAACCCGCGGCGGGAGCGCTAATGCGCTCCCAGCGCCGCACTCTCCCGAGTGCGCCATGGGCTCGGCCCTTAAACAGTTTCTTAATTCACCTCTGGAACACTACAAGGACCATAGAACTCTGTAATTGTAATTATTCACCCGTCTGACTAACATACTATTGTTGTTCAGTATTTCATCAGTCTTTTTTATTTTTTAAACTCCACAGACTAAATTATTATCATTATATACAAGCAGTGTTTGTTTCAATTTTCACGTGTTCAACATTTTTTCCCTGTTGGCTCTCCATTCCTTCTTACATCTCAGATTGTCTTTTGAGGTCATTTTCTTTCTGAATGACGTCCTTTATAAGTTCCTTTGGTGCAGGTGTCTTAGCTTGGGTTCCCTGGAAAGCAGAGCTTGACACCAAAGCTAATGTGCTGCTACTTTATTAAGGAGCTCAGTCCCAGCAAATTAGGAATGGGGGCTAGAGGAATGAGGGATGAAAGGGAGAGAGCACACACAGGGGTGAGTTAATGAGCTGCCACTATTTGGTGTCAAGCACTCTGGATTGCTTGATTTTGTAAGTTAGTCTTCTGACAGGATATAACAACTGTGTTTCAGGATAGATACAAATTCACTCACCAGCTTCCATCTCCAGTTGGCCCAGGTTTTAAGTTCCACCAGATAGAATATAGCTCCTCTTATATATATAAACCTGATCATACTTTGTACGTTAAATCTCATATGTAATTAATGATAACCACTTACCTACTGTTGGAGTATTGGCAGCACTTAATGAAGCAGACGATGAGATAGAGGAGGAACTTTCTGCTCTGGCTAAAGGAGCGGCAGGAGGTGGGCTGGTGTTGGCAGTTACAGGTGGACTGAATGGCCTGGGCTTAAAAACAAAAAGTTATTTATCAAAATGCTAAAACAATTCCTCCCTTGTCAGAAAAGATGTTTAAGTATCAGGTAAATTTCACCTTAATATACCAAACAAAATTTACTGTGTGTTTCCTATAACTCAAAATCAGAGATACCATAGGTCAAATCATTTCCAAGAACATGTATAGTGAAAAGGCTATTTTCAGATAATGTTGTCAGGAGGGTCTTTGTGCAAAAAACATTTTCTGTATTTCAAAAGTAAGCTTAAGATAGATTCTCAGAAGTTAAATTATTAAACAGTATGAAGGCTCTTCATACATACTACCAAACTGCTTCCCAAAAGGGTTATTCACTTTACTTTCTATAAATATATCAGAACATTTCTCTGCACCCTTGCCAGCAATGAATGTATGAGTCATAGAAGGAAAAAGAATAATTAAAAAACTTTTCTAGCTAATTTGATAGGTAAAAATAAAATTTGCATTTTCACTTTTATGAATGGTCTGATGTAGTTTTGGGAGGTCTTAGTATTACCTGAACTTTCACTACCTACTAACCTTTTGTCTTGTTTGCCGCAATTATTTTCCACCCTAAATATTGCTTGCCCTTTACTTTCGGCATTTAGAAAGCTGTCCACATTTTTCTTTATAACTCCTTATAATGCTTCCTCATTGAGAAAGCTCACCCCATAAAGAGATCTGAGAAAATCTTCATTCTGTTGTCTTCCCACTTGTCCATTAAACATAAAAACAAATATAAAAAATATAACTCCAATTCATTTATCTTTCACTCTGGTGAATGAATTTTTTTCCCTTCCAAATTCCTAGCTATTCCAATAATACATTAGCAATACTTCCTGAGGGGTTTCACTTTTTAAAAAAATAAGGCATATTTAGCTTAATTAAAAATAACACTTTCCTATGTATGAAAGTATTAAGCAAATACAACAAATATTTATTTAGTGTCTGCTATGTGTCAGGCTCTGGATTAGGTACTAGATACGAAGCAGTGTACAAGAAAGATAACTGCCCTCAGTTATTTAAGGAACATGGAAAACAAAAGGCAAAAACAAACAGAACCCTATATTCACTCATACACTAAATTAGTCAACTCTTCATTGCATGAATATAAACTTATATACACTTTTATAAAAATTAGATTTTATTGCGCAAGGTGTTTTACAATCTGTAACCACCACCCCCTCCCTGCCACCATTTAACTATTATTTAACTATTTTTCTGAGTTCAGCTTTTTAATGATTCATTATTATGGAGAATAGGTTGAAAAAAATACAGAAAGCAAGGTGTAAAAACGCAGCTGTTTATGTACACAGATGAAGGTGGTGCAGGATATGAGGCTGAATTCAACAGCTGGTCTGAAACTTACAAGCCTGGAAAAAGTCTTGAGGTAAACTATTGTAGGGGACATTTTTCCTACAGCAACGTGGCTTCATGGTCAATATAATGTGGCTGCATTTTTATACTGCATTGTACAATTTTTTGGAAAAGTAAAAACAGCTCTTTTCTCAAGTGGTTTTCTCTTATTTTAGAACTGTACTATCCAGTACAGTAGCCACTAACACTTGAAACGTGGCTAGTCAAAATTGAAATGTGCTGTGTTGCTTATATAAAGTGCAGATTTTGAAGACAGCATACACATAAAAGCAATGCAAAATCTCATTAACCATTCTTATACTGCATACATGTTAAAATGATAATGTTTTGATATCCCGGGTAAAATAAAATATATTAAAATGAATTTCACTGTTTTTACTTTTTTAATGTGATTACTAGAAAATTTTAAAGCATATATATATTGCTTGCATTAGATTTCTACTGGACAGCATTGCTTTGTAAAACAGTGGTTCTGAAATGTTAGTGTACATCAAAGTCACTTAGAGAGCTTGTTAATACACAAGTGCTGGGCCCCTCCCCTGAATTTCTGATTTCTCACAACCATTTAGTTCATGAATTTCACTTTTAAAATTTTTTACTAAGGAAATAATGAATGTCTGCAAAGAAGTAAACATAAGGATATTCATTAAGACACTGTTTATTTTATAACAATGAAAACTTGGAAATAAACTAAATGTCAAATAATTTTCTAGGAACTTTTGGAGATTTAATTCTGACAACTGTGTAGAAGATAGAACACTGAAATACTCTGCAGTCACTTCAAATAGCCCTGCCTAAAGCCCTCAAAGGATGATTCTAGAAGGCATTCAAGGATGGGGGAGGGGAGGGTGATATGAAGATTCAACTATGAGTCCCGCTTTTATTTATTTTAATACACTTACAATTTAAAATTATTTGACAAAGGATTCTAGCACTTTAAAGAAGTTTGAAAACTATTAAGTAAGAATAATTCATGGTATAGAAAGACATTCCCAAAATATTTTCAAGCGAAAAACAAATTAGAAATATGTAAAGTATGACTTTTTATTTAAAACTATACACATATCATTCCTAATAATTTTCCTGAGCAATTACTTGCACCTCAGCAATGTTCTAGGTGTTTTACACATATTAACTCATTTAAGTCTCACAATAACCTAGGATCACTACACCCATTTTTGCCATGAGGACACCGAGACTGAATAAGTAACTTGCCTAATGTTGCTCAGCTAGTATGTGGCTAATAAGCTTATACTTTTAAAAACTGTATTTCACTGCCTCTGGATAAATACTTCTGCATTCAAAAAATAGTAATATATATATATAAATATATTAATAGTTATCTTTTGGTGGTAAAATATAGAGGGAATTTTTAATTTTCTGTGTTTTCTGTATCTTCCAAATTTTACAACATGATCGTTCATTGCCTTTTGTAATCAGGAAGAAAAACAAATTAAGATGTAGTAATTTTTATAATATAGTCATGCACCATGTAATGACATTTCAGCCACATAAAATTATAATGGAGCTAAAAAATTTCTATTGCCTAATGACATAATAGCCAGTCATAGTGCAATGTATTACTCACATGGGAGCACCAGGAAATACCATATAGCCTAGGTGTACAGTAGGCTATACCATCTGGGTTTGTGTAAGTACATTCTATGATTCATACAATAATAAAACTGCCCAACAATGCATTTCTCAGAATGTATTTCCCTTGTTAAGTGGCACATGACTATACAGTACTTAAATGATAACCACCTCCTCAGCAACTTGTACCTAGTCTCTCATTTCACCTCTACTAAGACTGTTCATTGGGATGGAGCCAAAAGAAAGATTTCACCATTTCAACACTTGGTGCTCAAGCCATTTCATGTATTCACTGAACATTTCCTAACTATGTACCATGTGACAGGTATCACGCAAAGTACTGAGGATATGAAATTGGCTAAAGCATTGTCCAGTGAGAGAAACACACACAAAGACAGCATATACAATGTGATATATGAACTAATATAAAAATAAGCCAAGTATATGGGTACAGGGAAGAGAATCATTGAATCTGCTGGAGGAGGAGTGATGAAATAACCAAAAAGGGCTTTACCTAGGTGGTGATATTTAGCTTAAAGAAAGAGGTCAATGTGCTACATAGAAAACTGAGGGGCATTTCATATAGAGGGAGCACAATAAGAAGACATGGCTATATAATAGAGCATGATGTGTTTGGGCAACAGTGGAAAGTTTCGAGTGGCTGGTATCTATGTTAGGCAGTTAGTCTGGCAATGCAGGTTGTTGAGGAACTTTATGAAGAGTCTCACACATCAGCTAAAATATTCAATCACATGGATTATGGACAGCCATTGGAGATGTATATCAAAGGGGAAAAAAGATTAAGCTTGACTTTTAGAAATTCAATTCTGGCAATCAGCCTGGCAATTAGTGTAGAAGATGAAGTACAGCAGAACAGATTGGAGGCAAGAAGACTGGTTTGTGAGAGCCTCACTCTGAAAAGAGTCCACATGTTTTCTCTCATATCTCATGACTTTTGAAGACCAATGATTTTTTTTTCCCAATATAAACTTTTATAAGTCAATTAACTGATATAGACTCCAGTTTTCTCATGTATAAAATAAAGGAAGCTGAACTAGATGCCCTCCTGGACCCTCCTGACAGTATACTTCTAAAGCCTAAGAACAGGCCACCATTTCCTCCTTAATATTTTACTTTAAGCAGAATTACATGAAATTTGCTTCCTTATTGTAAGGAAATGGGTACTGAATGGTGCTTTTGTAATGTGTCAACTTTCTTAGGAAATCTCTTTCCTCCTGAAAAATGTCTTGTTCCACAGGTATTATTGTTGAAGTAATAAAGGAGAGTAAGGAATTGTTGGGTGGGAAAATTTTTCTATTCTTTGAGGACTCACATAGAAAATGTCAAGCATTTAACTGGAAAGGGACATATAGAAAAATAGCATTTGCATCTTAAACCAAAACACTTATATAATTTAAAAAAAAAACAAAAAACACCTGAGTACATACTATTTCATTAATCCCACTGAGTTTGCCTGAAGTAAGCTTTGGTCTGGAAGCAGGCCTTGGAGGTGGGACAATGGTGCCTACAGAAAGAGGAGTTGTGGGCCTGGCTGGTGGGGGGAAAAAGAGAATTTGAAGAAATCATTAGTATGTAGCAACCTTTACATAAAGACATTCTATTATAAAGGAACTGTTAGAATTCAAAGCTTATTTTTCAGGATTTAAAAAAAAAATCTAATTACAGATGTTTGTTGAAATACTGAGAGTCTGTTTATCAAACATGCTTTTTTGATACTACCAATAATATTCCTGAAAAAAAAAATTGTTAACCTTCAATAAAACTGACACACATTATATAAATTTTATTTCTGTTTCATTTATTTATATATATAAAAAATTAAATCTGATAAATTAGCCAGTGAAAATAAAAGAATTTAAGGCTAAAGGTCTCTAGTTTATTTCCAATACATTTACTTTACAGACAGTAAATGCAAGACCAAGCCTTTGAAGCTAATCCTTCAGAATAATGATGTGAACTATTAGTAAAACACTTACCTTAATTAAACTTGTTAATTTGACCTTTAAGTTGAACCACATTGTAACATTTTTTGGGATAATTAAAAGCATCAAAAATATTCTATTAGTTTACTAAAAAACATTTCCCCAAATCACTACAATTAATTTTAGTAAGTGTTCAAAATATCTAAGCTTTTCCCAAATCCTATATAAATTGAGTGTTGACTGTATTTCAGTGCCATTTGCAAATTTCACAATTTACAAATCAGAATTATCAGCATTCCTAAGTAAAAACTCTTATCATGACAGAAATTACTGAATAAAATTCAAGTATACATCATCAAAAGTCACACATGTATTAGCATAATCAAAGTGCGAGGAAAGAATGGAAGCAAATATGTTTAAATCATCTTTAAATAAATAAATAAAAATGATTTTCAAAATGCTTTGGTCTACTCTAAAATATGCGCTATAATTCAGAAATTGAAAAATATAATGATGGTTAGAAACATATTCAGCAAGTTCTCTAAGTTTACAGATATGCAAAATTAAAAATATATAAATGGGCCTAAATATATACATGGGGAAATAAACAATTAAGCTGAAGGGTCTTGGTCATCAACGGAGGAATGGATGCATGAAAGGAAGGGACATGGAGGTAGTAGGAAGAGACCTAAAGAAAAGGGTAGTCACTCAGGATTGAAAGTAAATGCCTGAGAGGTAGCAAATCATTCAGAAAACATATCAGAAGAAGGGATAAAAGATGCAAGCACAGTTCAGGTTGCTTGAGAAAAATGGTAAAAAGCTGATAAGAAATCAAGTTTAGTTTCTGAGGCTGCTGCCTTCTTCCAGTCAGCACCAGTTCTTTCATGCTGCACTCACACTTTACGCTGTACACTGGAAGAAATGTACACCAACCCGAGGACTATAACGCTTCTTTGTGCTTTGATATATCTACTTTTAAGATATATTTATTATCAGTGAAACCAGCACTGACCTATACTGTATTGTTAAGTTATTTCAAGCTTATAAGAGAGCTTAACACAACAGAGACACTTATATACCTGAAGCTTCACTATTGATCAAGTGGCCCATCCAAATGGCATTTAGATTGACTCAAACCACGCCTGGTACAAGTGTTAAGACAGCTCCTTCAAACAATCAGGATTTGCTTTTTGAGGAAAGCTAATAACAATACTTATTAATACCAATGCTTATAAATGAATCTATATTATATTTGTGTATATCAATTAGGTACTGCTTCTAGAAGCCTCTGGAGAAGATTACTACAGTTGTTTACATTCTTAAGTATCCTAATTGTCTTTTGTTTTTTGCTGGTGGTGGAACTCACTGCTATGAATGTCTATCAGATTCAGTGTTTCAAGAAATATGAAGTGAACTATAAAGTATAAAAACATAGGATATATGAGTTAAATCTATATCTGCCCTCAGACATTACTTAAGGGGAATGGACACACATTTGCCATACAATTCTTTATCTGAACAAAGGCAAAGACTAATTTAGAATCCAGAAGCAATGATGATGGTATAGAAGAAATATCAGCAGCACTGTTACCTTCTCTGTCAGTAATTTTACAAGACATATAATGACAAAAGTCACTTTGATCCTCACAGATGCAGCTGTTGGAAGACATCCCATCTGAAGCGTTAGGGAACCCAAAGGTATTTTCAACTTTACAATGCAATCTCTGGAATGCCTTCTGAGTTGTACTAGAGTTATTAATTCTAACAAGTTCATCAGTAAAGAAAATCCACTGACTTTGCACCATGAAGCAAAAGGAAATTTATCTCTGTTCTCTAGTGTTGTTATTATAGCAGGACAGAATACAGACTTAGTGGAAAAGTCTTGTGATGGGCTTTACAGACCCAGAATCTGACCTGGTTTCAAGTAAACTTTCAATTATCATACACCCAGGCAAATCAGTGGAAGAGGAAGTGATGTTCCTACTTTGTCCTTTAAGGTCAGCTGAATAAGACCAAAAAAAGAGAAAAAAGAAGAAAAAGAAAACTAGAAGCAACTGGAAAAGTCTAGAACTAAAATATAAATCTACACAGCTAAATAGTTCTCATCTTAATGTTATTTTAATTACTTGAAACTACAATTTAATAATACATGAAACAAGAGCAGGAACTTGAAATTTGCATTAACTGAGGAAAACAAGTATGAGCATAAGAAACTTAAAGTACATATGAAAAACTGAAGATCCAAAATTGCATAAAATTGAAGGTCCAAAAATTATATAAAGCCAGAATCAGTCCTGTTTTCCTGGAGAAGCAAAGGTAATTATAACTGTCAGTATAAGATCTAAAAAGACTTAACAAGATGGCAAAGTGATGGTGCTGTGTACATGTGGCACTCAACAAAGTTCCTGACAGCTAGTGACAAAACTAGATAGGAGGTATTTTGGACTACATCAGAGTTGGAGTTAATATTAAAAACCAGCCTAATATTTTTTTTTTTTTTTTTTTTTTGTCTTTTGTCTTTTTTCCGTGTCCGGCAACGGATCGCAACCCTCAGTGTTGCCCCCGTACCGGACCGGGGACCGGCAATGGGATTGCAACCCTCGGTGTTGCTCCCACGCCTCGCTCAGCCAGTGAGCAGGAACCGGTCTGTATGTGGGATCCGAACCCTCGGGCGGGAGCGCCGCCACGCTTCCCAAGCGGCGCACTATCCAGTGCGCCACCGGGCCGGCCCAGCCTAATATTTTTTGAAAGATAATTTTAAGGGGTTTGCACAGCAGAAGAGCTCAATTAACTCATGAGCAGAGAAGAAAATGGTCTACACTGCCACTAATCAAAGGGGAGGTAGGTATGAGATATTTATGTTAAATTTTTAAAAATACATACATGAATGTTTGTATATATTCATATTTAAAAATAAACATGAATTTTACTTATAGTCTACATGGTACAAGATGCAACTGATACTACTACTCAGACAAGCTGTAAGAATCCTTTTTATAAACATATAACAACACTGGGAGGCTTATCTTATTATTAACTGATTGGTTGGAATCATTTTATTGGACTGCTTTAGCTAAGATGAGGTCACTGACAAATTAAGATTCTAAAAGAGACAAAGGAGGGGAAGGAAGAATCTCACAACCTGGACCTTGCTAAAATGTGAAAATGGGTACCTGAGTAGAAGATGTTAAGATGGGGGGAAAGTGCATTGCGAAAAGTGGTAGAACAAATTTAACACAAATTGCCTATTTCACAATTTCACTTAGGGCCAGTTTTGTAGAACAGGAGAATCACAATAATGCATTGATCAGTTTGATCAGTAATTATATTCTGTTCAAGTGAAGACTTAATAATAATTACTATAATAAGATAATTATCTCTTTTGCATATTACTAACATTTTTGGAAGGGCAAAATAATTTATGACATTATTTTTCAAACTATATAATAGGAAGGTTTAAAAATGCATACTGAACTGAAAAGCCAGTAAAAGGTTAACAAAGGATTTATCATTTCCTATCTGCTAAACATCAAATGACCACTGGATGAAAATGAGTCATTTTCTACCTGACGTGAAAGTAATATGGGTGAACCATTCTTTAGACAGATATCAAGAGGAAAAGAGAGAACTTTTTGAAAAGAAAGAGATTGTACTAAAGAAAATAACAAGAAACAATGAGCAGAATTATGAGGAAATTTCTACATAACTAAAGCCAGTAAAGCCAATTTGAAAATTTTTATTAACAATTTTAATAAATAATTGATAAAGGAATATTAACAAAACTTAACAATACTGCTTAGGACTCTTCATTCTAAATACAAAATATCATTCTGACAGTTTTTACTAAATAAAAAAGAGAGAGCTTAGCAACAACTTCAGTTTTTCTTGTACAATATATTTGTAAGGTGAGTTTTATAAAACTAAATAATAACAAATGCCCATTGAGAAAGGTTATAATGCCACTTCATAGTATATTCAACTATCTATTGACTGTTTCTTGCTGTTTTACAAGTATTAGGTGCAGATTACTCTCCCTTCAAAATTCCAAATAGTATTTAGGGTTAAGGTTTCTTATAATCCATTTGTAGTTTCTTTTAAAAATATTTAGTCTCTAAACAGTCTAATTTTAAATGCTAATATTTATTTATTAATAGTAAAATGTTTTAACATGGCTTTTTTTGTTGTTAATCTGTCAGAGTGTGATAGATAGAACAATGATTTTAGAATTAGTATGATCCAGGTCTGAATCTTGTTTCCACCATTTCCTAGCTATATGATCTAGGAGAAGTTACTTATCTCTGAGCTTAACTTTTTTCATCTATAAAACAGGGACAATAAAAAGGACTTCGTGCAGCTGTTAATGTGGTGAAATTAATTAGAATGTACACAGTTCCTAGCAGAGTGACACAGCATGAACAGATTTAAGTTCTGTCCCCATGATTCCAGCACTTCATTCATCCTACTGTATGGTGATTCTGAAATCCCAGAGAAGAGGGAGAAGATCAACATAAAGTGATTTTCTTTTCTTGTTTTGAACAAGCACTGGTTTTATTAAACATGTATTTTTGATGCCTACTTTGGTTTTTGGCTAATGGCAACTTTATATTTTGAAGAAAAGAGAAACTTGACATATTCTTGTTGAAACAACAACTAAAAAACATTCATCAAGTTCTTTCATATACTCCTCGGGAAGTATTAAAGCCTTTCTGGAAAGCAGTTTGGCAATAAGTATCAATGTGTATATCCTGTGACCCACGTATTTTATACTGATAAATTCTTACAAGGATATTATGAGACGTGCACAAAATCTGTTATTTCCATGTATGTTCATAATACCAGAAAAGTAGATGCAACCTGAATGTTCATCAAGAAAGGACTGGTTACATTAACGCATATATATATGCATTTCAATTATCTATAAACTGTAAGAATTATTTGCGTTATGATATACAATGTTGCCTAGAAATAAATAAATCAATTTTTAAAACGCTTGGAATTTTATAAATGTTTATTGTTTAATCTATAGGATCTTTCAGTTAAGTTAACAAAACCAGTATAAAATCACTTTTATCTGGCAATATGATCAGAGGACAAGTTAAAAAAAAAAATTGATCATTAAGTACAATACACAGTAGTGAAATAAATCAATATGAAAAAACATAACTACCATATTCCTGATTTTTAAATGTAGATATATAGATATAGATATATATTTACCTGATGATGATGAAGTTAGTGAAGCTGAAGAAGACAAATCAAGAGATGGTCCAAATAAGGGGTCCCAAGCAAGTAAATCACTGGTCCCTTTCCTACCACAGCATTTAAAAAATAAGGATTTTTAACAAAAGAATATTTTATTAGTATAAAATCTAGTCATTTATCATTATTTCATAGAAAGAATTCTGACAGCTCAATATACATGACTAAAGAGTTGGATAGTCTGCCAGTGATACATGTGAATTTAATTACCAGATTTAATATACCAATATTTGTTAAATGCTATAAGCAGAACTTACAATAACATTATGTATGGGAAGTTGGTAGGGGGCAGTAGGAAAGATTAATCCCCACTGATTGCACCTTGTTGGATTATAAGCACCCTGGGGGCTGCCAGAAATGGGAATAATGTCAGTTTTACACTATGAAAAAAAGCAGCACAAAGAATCTAGATGAGCTACCCTAAGACACACAGCTACTTGATTCTAAAACAGTCTTAGGTCTACTGAGCCACACCTAGCACCCAGTCTTGGACAGAATATTTAAGTGATGTGAAATCAGGCAGAAATTTTATAAGGCTGTCACACTTATTTTCGAAGAAGAAGAAAAAGGGTAATGGATATTTTTAAAAAGTCCTTAAGTACAGAAAGGTGGCTTCAATATTTTAATGTATCAAACTGCCATTATTTAAAAAAAAATCTTGATATATTAGAAAAAGGCCCACCATAATAAAAATGTTAAAATTATCTAAAAGTGCATATCTAGCTTCTCAATATGCACCCTACATGCAAGCACACTTCATCTTGTATGATAAAGCCTAGCACTACAATCACATAAATGATTCCTAAAAACAAAGTTTTAATACACTAAACAACTTATCTTTAAAAATGATAAATCCCTTGGGCCGGCCCGGTGGCGCGCTGCTACAGTGCGCCGCTTGGGAGAGCGGTGGCGCTCCCAACAAGGGTTCGGATCCCACATACAGACCGGTTCCCGCTCACTGGCTGAGCAAGGTGCGGGTGCAACACCGAGGGTTGCGATCCCGTTGCCGGTCCCGGTCTGGTACGGGGGCAACACTGAGGGTTGCGATCCGTTGCCAGACACGAAAAAAGACAAAAAAATAAAATAAAATAAAAATAAATAAAAATGATAAATCCCATAAATACCACCGTTATGCTCAATTAGTGCCTCAAGAGTATCAAATATTTTAAACTATCCATTTCCATTTAAGTAAGCCTACTCTTACTCATGTAAAAAACCATGAACTCAAAGTATTCTTACTGACATACAGAAGTGAAAAGGGACCCATGCAACAATGGCTTAACATTTTTTATTCTTTTTAAGAAGAGCAGGAAACATGCCTTCTAGCCCTCTCCCTTTTCAAATTAATTGAAACAGTTCCTCATTTTGAAGTTCATAAAGTATACAGTCTGTTTTACAAGGTTGAAGTCAAAACTGAAGGAAGAAATGAGAAAATTTCCATGAGAATAACTAGGTGAAATACAGGTATGTATGAACTTAGGATACCATCATTCATTTAGAAGTAATGAGATTACCAAGGCCAACTGCAGTTGAATGAATATTTTTAAAAATCATTGTAAAAAGAAATATTATCAAGTGAGAAATGATTTTAAACATCTAAAATCACCAACATGGCATTTCGCAGTTTAGAAAACAGGATGTAATCATCTTAATGGAACTGAAACTGCAGAGGTAATAAAACTGGCTAGAAAAAAAGCACAAAAGAAGGATACTTAAAATTTAAATGTGAGAGGAAGGAAGAGATGAATAGGTGGAGCATAGAGATTTTTCAGGGAAGTGAACATACTTTGTGATACTATAATGGTGGATACATGTCATTACACATTTGTCAATACCCAGGGAATATATACCACCAAGAGTGAACCCTGATGCAATCTATGGACTTTGAGTAATTATGATGGTCAATGCAGGTTCATCAATTGTAACAAATGTACCACTTTGGTGAGGGATTTTGATAGTGAGGGAGGTTGGCCATATGTAGAGATAAGTATACAGGAAATATCTGTACCTTCTGTTTAATTTTGCCATAACCTAAAACTGCCCTGAAAAATAAAGTATATTTATAAAATATTAAACATGGAACTTACTCATTGGGTAGAACAGATTGCTTTGATTTTGTTAACTCCTCATCTAGTTAAAAAATTAAAATATTGTGAAAAAATTATAATCAAATAAAATATTTTAATTAAAAGAGAAACTCTAAACACATACCCCAATACTATGAACAACTTAAAAATTTTGGAACTGATAATGTAAATATAAACAATTATAACAAAAATGTAAATAAGCTTTCAACAGGTTTTCTATCATGCATTTTAAAATAACAGCTGAATTTCTGCAAAATCTTGATGTCGTCCAACATCTTTGGTAAGAACTTCCTTAAGTCAACTAAACTGTGATATTCATCAAAATAAAATTGCTAGAGAGAAAATACGAGCTGCAACTTTTAAAATTAGAAGAAATGTTTAAATACACAAATTTTACTCAAGAATTTTAACTGATAAATCATGAAAGCATTTTTCTGGTTCTAAGAATATTAGTGATTATCGTATTGACCAAAAGTAGTTACCTCTTGAAAGAAATTCTATTTTGAAAAATTAAAATTTTTATAGCAACCTAGAGCAACAGCTTCTTCACAAGAAAGTCTGTTTTGTTACCTTTTGCATTTGTAACATGACTGATTTCATAAGCAACTGGTAAACAGGGGAACAGCATCAGTAATGCAAAGGTCTTGTTGGTGCATAAACAATTTACCCTGCACCTTATTGTTTTGTATCACCAAGCAACAGCTGATGAATGCAAAGTACAACAATATGAAGAACTGCAGCAAACTATGGAGAAGTACCACATTGTACACGATGCCCATACTCACTCCATTCTTCCATTTGGCTCTGTTTGGCTGTTTGTACTGCTTTAACGTACTAATTGTGCTGTTCTCCATCTTTCCGCATTTTGCCCTTATCTCCATAACTTTAGCAGCTTCCGTTTATCCTCATTTTCCTCACATCTCCTATCATCAAGCTACCATCAATATTTACTTTTTAAAGCTAAAATCCTTACTTTTATTTTACTTAGTATGGATTCAACAGGTCCTTTTAATTGTGCTAGAATCTTTATTAGAATTGATGTTATAGTTTTTGTTAAGCATTCCACTGACAAAAGCACATAGCTTTCGAGTGGGCTGTCTCAACTCTATTTTTTTTTGACTGGTAAGGGGATCACAACACTCGGCATGGTGTGGTCCATACAGCGCACAGCCAGTGAGCGCACTGGCCATCCCTATATAGGATCCGAACCCATGGCTTCGGCACTCCCAGCACCGCACTCTCTCGAGTGAGCCACAGGGCCAGCCCCTCAACTCTATTTTTATCACAACTCTTGCTATTTTTAATGCATGATTCTATAAAAGGTGTTACACCCTATAAACATTTTTACTATAATTAAGTTACTATATTCAAAACCATATAATAAAAATTGTAATTATGATATGACTTAAAACAGATAAAGCTAAAGATATTACTCATCTTATAAATGCCTTCCAGGGGCCGGCCCGGTGGCGCACTGCTACAGTGCGCCGCTTGGGAGCGCAGCGGCGCTCCCGCCGAGGGTTTGGATCCCACATACAGACCGG